GCAAGGTCAGTGCCGCCCGCAGGAGACGGCCTGAGGGGCGCTGCGGGGCGCTGCGGGGTCCTGCGGTTGCTCTCCACTCTCGCCCGGACACGAATGAATGTGGGATTCTGGATGCCTGTGGTCACCAGCACCTGACGCACCTGACCGCGGTCTCTTCAGGTCTGCAGGCTTGGGAGCCTAGCATTTGTGCACTTACCCTCGCCCTGGCTTCCAGAGTGTCCAAGTGAGCCCCAGAGAGTCCTGGCTGTCCCAACGCTCCCTAGACGCTGTCTCCTGACATTATTGGTTCCATCTCCAGCAGCAAAACTGTACTGTCATGTAGCCCGCTTTTTTGCTGCAGCAACCTCATCCCCCAGGCTAGCCAAACACCCAGCTTGTCAGCAGGCCATCGGTTCCGAGGATGATAGCCAGCATCACGGCAAACTCCACACTGAGAAAGGGGCAGGAAAAGGAAGATCAACGCATGAAACACCACTTTATGGAAATAACTGAATCTAGGCACCTAAGCCTAGAACCTTTTGCATCAGTTAATTACATTTGCATTTCAGAGATATCTTCATTTTCTTGGGCCTTCAACTTGTATGTCACAAACATAATTCACACCATTAATTTTCGAACATTTGCTTCCCCCCCCCCCCCCCCGCTTTTTTTTTTTTTTTTAATCTGCACACCATTCCAAGCATAATGGGGCAATACAAAAAGGAACTCACTTTGTCCTTAACTAGATTCACTAATAGGGAATATAGGTAAATTTTGTGCCATATATTGGAAGTCACTTGAAGATGCTATTTTGTCAGTCATCCATCCCCCTGAGGGACTGTACTATTAGTTTCTGTTCTCTGTTGATAAACTGAAGTGCAGAGAGGTTAAACAACCTGCCCCAAAGTCACATAGCTACAATGTGATGCAGGCAACATTAAAAGCCAGGCATTCTGACTTCAGTCTATTCTATTTTACTGAATTGCCATTGAGAAAGGAGAGGCTCCATTCATCAACACATGATGTTCTAATATTAATACCTATTTTCATGAACCATTATTCTTTTTCTTTGCTTTGTTGTAAAACAACAGTAAAGAGCACACTGAGCTTTCCATGTTGTCTGGGGGTTCCCTAACCTTTAGAATTACATCCCACTAACATTTTCAGATTGAATTATTTTTAGCAAGTGTTTTACTGCTAAGCTGTTTCACAGGTCTATATGGACTGGGCTGTAATAATATCACCACAGAAATCTGTTAATTCCTCCCTTCACTAAAATAAAAGTTCATTGGGTATCTCTAGTATGTCAGGCATTGTGTTGAGAACTAGAAGGGGTACAAATAAGAGTGACACAATACTTCCCCCTCATAAAGCTATGATGTCAATTACTGGGCACCCTAATAATCTTTTAAAATCTTAATCATTCTCTTGTATCCCCATCTAAAAATACTACAGTCAGAATAAGTTTCCATCCTTTTACTACCTTATGATGGAGTTAAATTTCAACACTTGGAGCCTTGGGGACATGCAAACTGTAGCATCTACTCACAGTTTGTATCTCCCACAAGTCAATCCATTTGTAGCCATTTTTGCCAAAGAAACACAAGCACTGGACCACTTTGTTGATAGTATTGGCATTTGAAAATCTTAAGAAGAGATTGTGGTGGTAAAAATCAAGAAATCGGAGCTTTCATTAAAGAGTTCAGTGTCTTCCATTTGGAAATCTTTATACTGAGAAGGCTACAAGACTTAATCTGTGTCTACTTATCCTCTCTTCCTTTCCTAAAGTCTCAGGATGGGGGAAGCCTCGGTATGTAGATTGTAACTCCCTCAGCCGTACCTTTGATACTGTTTCCTTTGGTTCATCCCTTTACTTAATCTGTTAGCATTCTGAATCCTAGTTTCCCCACTTACTGGCTTGTTTTCCTTCAGGCTATAAATAGGATGAATTTTCTTCTATTCTAAAAAGCTTTTCTATTGATGCATTGTTTTCTTCCAACTACTGCCTGCCATGGCTTGAAAGTTTCCCCCTCCCCCAAATTTCTGGAATCCTCAATGCAGTGATGTTAGTAGGTGATTAGGTTAGAAGGAATCTTCCCATATGATGGGTTAATGTCATCATCTTGGAAGTGTGTTTGTTGTAAATGCAAGTTCAGCCAGGCACAATGGCTCACACCTGAAATCTTAGCTACTTAGGAAGCTAAGATCTGAGGATTGCTGTTCAAAGCCAGCCAAGCAAGAAAGCCCATGAGACTCTTATCTCCAATTAACCACCAGAAAAACTGGAAGTGGAGCTATGGCTCAAAGTGGTAGAGTGCTAGCCTTGAGCAAAAAAGCTTAGTGTCCAGGCCCAGAGTTCAAGCCCTATAACAATAACAACAAAATAAGCAAGTTCAGTTCCTTTTGGCTGTTTCCTTCTCTTCTACTTCTGCCTTCCATGGCATGACACTACAGAGCCCTTTCCAGATAGATGCTGGTGCTGTCTATGATCTTGGACTTCCCAGCCTCCAGAACCAGAAGCCAGATTTAATTTTTCTTCATTATATATTATCTTGTCTATGGTATTCTGTTACAGCAACATGAAACAAACAGTTACAGTGCTCCCCATTTTAGTTAATAGTATTGGACCACCTTCCTATATGATTCAATGATTTCCCATTTTATGACCTTCTTTTTTTCAATTTAAAATAATACCTGTTTATGATCTCACACCTCTGTAGGTAAGGAGTTCAAACGAGTTCAATCAAGTTCTCTGCTCATAAGGCCAAAGACTTATGAGGAGGCTCTGAGGAACAGTCTACATCCAAACTCAAGTCCTTATGATTGATGCATAGATGGCTTCCTTTACTTTCTGGCTACCAGCCAAGTGACAATTCTCTGCTCCTGGTGGCTGCTCTCAAGTCCTGCCCATGGCGCTCTGAATCTTAGCAAAACCTCCCTCAAGTTAAATCTATCTGATGCTTCCATCTGACCATCTCATCTACTCGTATAGGTCTTGAAGGTTCTCAGTGGGGCAGCAGGTATCTTGCTGTTGGACCTGTTATCTGATACCAGCATGCAGTGTCCAGAGTACCAGCAACATTACTGGTGTCAACTGGAGGATTCTAGGGCTGGACCTCAGTAGTAGCAACATCTTTGGCCTGGTTCTCTGGAGTGATTTTGACTGTGTATACCCTTAGCAGCTTCTCTTTGTTCCGGTCTGTTTTTGAATCCTCTATTCCCAGTGATTCTCTGGGCTATATAGTACCTTTTTTTTTCCCCCAGTCATGGGACTTGAACTCTGGGCCTGGGCGCCATCCCTCAGCTCTTCAGCTCAAGGTGAGCGCTCTATTACTTAAGCTACAGTGCCATTTCTGGTTTTCTGGTGGTTAACTGGAGATAAGAATCTCATGGACTTTCCTGCCCGGTGATGGCTTGCTTGGAACTGTGATCCTCAGATCTCAGCCTCCTTAGTAGCTAGGATTACAGGCATGAGCCACCAGCACCCGGCTACATAGTACATTTTTAGGAAACTTTTGAAAATTATCTTTAAGTAGTTGTACAAAGCAGTTGCCATTTAGCAAAGCAGTTTATGAAAACAATATACCTTGATCAATGTCATCCCTTTCAACACTTTCACCCATTGATTTTCTTAATTTTGTAGAATATACATTAATTTTTTATTTTGGTTGGTTGTGGGGCTTGAACTCTGGGCCTGGGCGCTATCTTTCAGCTCTTCAGCTCAAGGTGAGTGTTTTACCATTTGTGCCACAGCGCCACTTCTGGTTTATTGGAGATAAGAGTCTCCCGGACTTTCCTGCCTCAACTAGCTTTGAACCTCGGATCTCCACCTCCTGAGTAGCTAAGATTACAGGCATGAGCCACAGATGCCCCGCTTACATTGAATTCTTGACTGCATTCTACATCCCAACTTTCCTTTAAGAAACTTTTATTGTAGGTAGAAGAAGGAGGATCATGAGTTTGAGTCCTGCCCTGGCTACAGAAGGAGTTCTAGGATGGCCTGGGCTATACAGTGAGATACTATTTCAAAATAAACAAACAAATATCACCAAAATAAAACAAAGCCCTCAGCCCTCTTTGTTTTCTAACTAATTCAGCCAAAGTTGTGTTGTGTATTGTCAATCTGACTGGTCCATGCACCTGCTTTGCCTTACCTCACAGTTTTTCTGTCTAAAGACTTCTTTTTAAAGTCTGGCCAGATTATTTTTCTACCCAAGTTACTTTACTATAACTTCTCTGGATTTACTAATGTCCTGTGCTTATTTTGATCTTTATTTCTCTTATTTTTTTTTACTATTATTATCTGTTGTACTTTTTTTCTCTTTCATCTTTGTTTACCCATTCACCCTGTTGCCACTGCTACATATTACAGTGCTCCAACAGAGCCCATTTTACTTTCCTATTGTTCATTTTTTGTGTATATTACCAGTGGTTTTCACTATCACATTTCACGTGTGCACATGTTGTATTTTAATCACAATAATCACTTTGATTGCTCTCCCTTTCCCTATTTTAATCCCCCATTGTTTAACAGTTTACAATGTCTTTTAATTCCATCTTCACATATAGATGCAATATACGGCAACAGTGTATGCATCCTTTCCCTCTCACCTCACATCCTCACCAGCATATCTTTTCCTTGTGGTTCTTGTTTTGTTCATTTTGTTTTCTTGATGATAGCCATTCTGACTGGAGTGAAATGTGTGTGTGTGTGTGTGTGTGTGTGTGTGTGTTTTGCTAGTCCTGGGGACTTGAACTCATGGCCTGGGCACTTTCCCTTAGCTTCTTTTGCTCAAGGCTAGCACTTTACCACTTGAGCCACAGCACCACTTCTGACTTTTTCTGTTTATGTGGTACTAAGGAATCAAAACCAAGGGTTTCATGCATGCTAGGCAAGCACTCTACCACTAAGCTACATTCCCAGCCCAGTGAAACGGAATCTTGAGGTCGTTTTTATTTGCATTACCTTTATGGCACATTGAACATTTCTTCATGTATTATTTTTAGCTATTTGTATTTTTAAAAATATGGAACACTTTACAAATTTGCATGTCATCTTTGTGATGGGGCCATGCTAATCTTTTCTGTATCTTTCCAATTTTAGTTTGTGTGCTGCTGCTGAAGTAAGCACTGTATTTATTCCTTTAAGAATGGCTTGTTCATCAGCACGGGGCAGGAACTGGGGGGAGGTAAAGTAGGAGAAAAATGAGGGAGGAGGTAGCAAGTTTGACAAGTTTGTTCTTTAGGGCTGGGAAGGTGGCTCAGTGGTAGAGCGTTTGCCTTGCATCCATGAGGCCCTGGGCTCAATTTCTCAGCACCACATAAGCAAAAAGAAAAAATCCTGGAAGTGGCACTGTGGCTCAAGTGGCAGAGCGCTAGCCTTGAGCTGAAGAGCTGAGGGACAGTGCCCAGACCCAGAGTTCAGGCCCCACAACCGGACCCCCCCCCCCAAAATGTGCTCTTTACGTACGTATGTAACTGTAACCCCTCTGTACATAACCTTAATAATAAAATTAAATTTAAAAATAGAATGGCTTGTTTAATTAGCTTACCTAACTATTAACTGGGTATTTTTCACAATTTAATTGTTTACTTCTTTGTATATTCTGCATAATAATCCTTCTCCATTGAATAGCTGGAGATATTCTCCTATTCCGTGGGTTATCTTTTGATTCTTAGTCATTGTTTCTTTTGCTGTACAGAAGCTTTATAATTTGATTTGATTTCATTTGTCTATTCTTGTTCTTGTTTTCTGGTCAATTAAAAACCTATTCAGAAAACAATTACCTGTATGTCTCTATCTTCCAGAGTTTTCCCTATGTTTTTTGTAGTCCTTTGAAATGTTACATTTAGATATTTAATCCATTTAGACTTGATTTTTGTTCAGGGTGAGAAAAGGAATCTACATTCAGTGTCCTATATGTAGATACCCATTTTTTCCCAGCACCATTTGTTGAAAAGATTGTCTTTTCTCAAGTGCATATTTTTGAAAATCTTGTCCAAAATTAGATGGCTGTGCTGGCCACTGGTGGCTCACACTTTGTAATTCTAGTTTCTCAGGAGGCTGAGATCTGAGGAGAGAGGTTTGAAGCCAGCCTGGGCAGGAAAGTCCATGAGACTCCTATCTCCAATTAACCACCAAAAAGCTGGAAATAGAGCTGTGGCTTAAGTGGTAGAGCATTAACTATGAGCAAAAAAGTTATATTTATTGGTAAAGTAGGATATTAAATTCACCCACAATTTTTGTGCCAGAGCTATCAATACATGATATAGTGAAGTGTTTGTCTAATGAACTTGAGTGTGCCATCATTTAATACAAATATGTCGATGGCTGTTATTCTTTTTGATGTATTTTCCCACTATTAATATGAAGTGACCTTTGTCTCTTCTAATTTTAGTTTAAGACTTATTAAGTTTCAAGAACCAGAAAAAAATGACAAGTCTTGGAAAGAGACTGAAGAAGAGACTGGAGAGGAAGAGGAAAGAACCAGAACAGGAAATCAGAAAAAGGATATAAGAAGGCACCAGAGAAGACAGAAGAAACAGAGTAAGAAGCAGTTAGTCACAGGTTGAAATTTTTATTTTATTTATTTATTTTTTTTATTTTTTTGGGTCCAGTCGTGGAGCCTGAACTCTGGGCCTGGGCGCTGTCCCTCAGCTCTTCAGCTCAAGGCTAGCGCTCTGCCACTTGAGCCACAGTGCCACTTCCAGGTTTTTTTCTTTTTTCTTATGTGGTGCTAAGGAATCGAACCCAGGGCCTCGAGCATGCAAGGCAAGTGCTCTACCACTGAGCCACCTTCCCAGCTCCCTTATTTCTTTCTTTTTGCCAATCCTGCAGCTTTGAACTCAGGGCCTGGTCACTGCCCCTGAGCTTCTTTTGCTCAAGGCTAGCACTCTGCCACTTGAGCCACAGTGCCACTTCCAGCTTTTTCTGTGTATGTGGTACTGAGGAATGGAACCCAGGGCTTCATGCATGCTAGGCAAGCACTCCACCCCTGAGCCACATTCCCAGCTCCACAGATTGAAATTTTTAAATAGCAGATATTAATGGCATATATTAAAGTATTCATTGAATTAGGCTCTGTGGGTATTGGTGGAAACTTTTCAAGAGCAATTTCAGTGGAGGGGTTGGTGGCAAAAATCAGACTGGAGCTGGGTGCTGGTGGCTCACACTTATAATCCTAGCTACTCAGGAGGCTGAGATTTGAGGATTGTAGTTCAAAGCTAGCTCAGGCAGAAAAGTCTGTGAGACTTCTATATCCAATTAACCACCAGAAAACCAAAAGTGGTGCTGTGGCTCAACTTGGTAGAGTGCTCGCTTTGAGCTGAAGAGCTCAGGGACAGCGCCCAGAGCCAGAATGCAAGGCCCATGACCAACCCCCCCCCCCCCCAAAAAAAAAAAATCTTCAAAAAAATCAGACTGGATTGGTAATGGGAAATTCTGGAGGTAATAGGAAATTCTAAGTTTATCTTGTTAATATCTACTAGTATGATAAGTGTTCACATTAGAAGGAATTAGTGGATACACAACACTCAAAGGTTTTCACATGCCTAATGGATTTTTGTGTGAAATGTCTTTGATCAAGATTATAAATGACAATAAAGATTTGTACTAAATATTTTGTAAACAGAAAGGAAATGCTAAGCCCTTTCTTTATCATAGCCTACCTATTGGGGACCTTTTTTTTCTTTATTTATATGAATTTTCTTTAGTTACTCTGGACAAAATGTGAAGAGCAAGGAAAGGGGAACTTTCTATTTTCCAGGTTCTGAATGGAGATTCTAATGAGGGATAAATTCCTCAGAAGATAACTATAAATTACAGACATTTGTGTTCCTCTATTCAAGACTTACCATTTTTTTTAAATCAAATTAGCTTGTACTGTCTGTGTAAAACAGTCGGTATTAGAATTAAGAGCTGATTGCACTTTAAGAGCATAGTAGCTCTTGAAGGCCTAGTATGTGACCAGCATTTTTATTATCTGAAAAACAGATATTCATATTCATTCAGTAGTTTTCAAGAACTCTAGTGAATAGAAGAATTATGAATGTTGTAAGATGACATCTATGGATTTTGAAAACATTTTAGCTTTACATAATATAAACAAATTGACCACAAAGGAGGCTGTATAATAGGGTGATAAAGAATATGGATTCTGGGGAAAGTGAAGGAAAAATCTGTGCTCAGAGTACAGAACTGAATTTGGCAGATAGGTGTTCTGGGAGATGATTTCTTAATATTTCTGATTCTTCTTTCTTCCTCAAGTGTGAAATGGTATTAAATAAAGGAATGCTTTTAAAGCTCTTAGCATAATGCCTGACATAAAGTATGTGCTAAAACATGTCACTTACTGTATTACCTAAGATTACAAAATTATTCAAGTTGGAATCCAAATTTTACAAACATTGCTATGTCACTTACATAGGACTATCTTTAAATGTAGAATTGTAGATACTGTTTAGGATTATCTGTTAGTTAGGAAAAACAGACTTTCTTAATCCACCATTGGTACCTTTGAATATTCTTCTCATTACCTTGAATTACACATCCATCAATTCATTCCTCATTTACCTGAGCTCTCTTTAACTTACAAATGACAGAAATCTAATTCAGCCAATTTTGAGTAAAGAAAACCATATCGAAGCAATGGTTATATTATTGTGATGCCAAAGGTGGTAATGATTCTTAAAGAATATCATTCCTTTGGTCTGCCTTTTCTTTCTGTGTAGCCCTCTTCATTCGTGGTCTGGCTTCTTGCATACAATAAGAGGCTAGAGAGAAAAAGGTTGGTCAGAATGTGAGGAAAGTCTCATGATTATGTGGTCCCTGTTCATCAGCCTCAGATGAAAGAGAAAAATATCTCTCTCCCACATTTCATGTAAAATCTAAGAGGAAATAGTTGAATGGAATAACTTGGATCATGTGCCAATCTACCTGAGCATCTATTGGAGCCAGAAGAATGGGATTGTAGAACTAGTTAGGTCTAGTCTTACACTATGACAGAAGTTGATACTATAGTTGATACACAGCCTCATGAGAATGACATGAGCTTTGGAGTTATCCAAAGAAAGGGCCGCTGTTTGTAGATGAGGGGAAAGCAAGTCATGGGTAGATTGAAACAACAAATAACAACAATAACACAAAACAACTCTATACTTTCAACTGAACAATCTCCTATTTTAGAACCCGAGGGCTATTGGTTTCTTTTTCTTTCATTTTCTCCTTTATTCATTAGAGAAAATAAATTACTAATTTCTGATTTTTTTCCTTCTGAACATTTTTCATCTTCCTTTTTTCTCTCTTTTTTTTTGGGGGGGGAGGTCCGGTCGTGGGGCCTGAACTCTGGACCTGAGCGCTGTCCCTCAGCTTTTCAGCTCAAGGCTAGTACTCTACCACTTGAGCCACAGTGCCACTTCAGGCTTTTTTCTTTTTGCTTATGTGGTGCTGAGGAATCGAACCCAGGGCCTCAGGTATGCAAGGCAAGTGCTCTACCACTGAGCCACCTTCCCAGCCCCCTTTTTTCCCCTCTTTTTAAAATTATCTTTAATAAGTTGTACACAGGAGGTACCATATAACAAAGAAGTTTATGAATACAATGCACCTTATCAGTGTCATCCCCTTCAACATTCCATTTTACTTACGTAAAAGACCAGAGAGTAAATATATTGGTTTTGCAGGTCATATGATTTCTATTGTAACTCCTCAAGAAACTACAGACAGTGCATGTTAGACTGATCATTGTCAGAACTGCTACATTTATTCAGTGCTAATTATGTCTTACATTGCTAAATAAACAATCCATCAAAACTGGTATTTTAACATAGTTACCTCTGTTAGTCATGTTCCCAGCACTGTGACAAAGTACTGGAGAGAATCAACTTAAAAGGAGGAAGGTTTATTTGGGCTCACAGTTTTAGAGGTTAGTTGGCCCTATTGCTTTGGGCCTGTGGAGTCATAGTACATCCTGGTGGGAACACATGGAGGAGGAGAGCTCTTTACCTCATGGTGGCCAGGAAGCAAAGAGAGAAATAGGAAGGCGTGACAGTCCCCACAATCCCCATCAGGTGTATGTCTCTAGTGACCTGACTTCTTTACATTGGAGTCCACCCCCTAAAGGATTCCACCACCTC